CCGAGGGTGCCGGGGGCCCCCCCCCCCCCCCCCCCCCCCCCCCCCTCGGGTATGACACCCCGAGCATAACCTTCGACCCAAAAATATAGGCTCTACGCTCCTAATCGCCTATGAATTTCTCAACATGTTGGAAGGCAGCAGGTATTGAAATCCCCATGCACCTCACCTGCCCATGCAGAGTGCTGGGGACCTCGGCAGCGTCGGACGTAGAGCTCCTCCACAGTCTAGCCAAACTTCTTCTCAAACTTCTTCAGCATGCCAGAAACACCTCTCTCCAGGCGCCCCGCATTCTCTTCCAGCCTTCCTCGTGTTTCTGTTTTAGGTTGATACTGATGTGGCTTGTTCACGCCAAATTCGACCTCGGTTGGCCGATATAGTTGCTGATGTATCGAATAATCCTGACCATCTTGCCGCAAGGTACTTTGATGGCTGTATGTATAGTTAGAGAAGCCCCCGGGAGGAGCGAAAGTGCCGTGCCCTGGGATTTGGGTTGCCGGTTGGGGAGGAGGTGGCGGTGGTACAAAGCCCGGAGACCCTGGGAGTCCTGAAAAGGCCGATCCTGAATTTGCAGGCATTGTTGCGGCTCTCTGTATACTTGGCTGAGTAGGAGGTCCGGCAAATTGAAGTGGCAAACTAGAAGTGTTGCTAATATTTGGCGGCAGCCCAGGACTGGCCATTCCGAGTGAAAATTGTGACTGCGGAGGAAACCCTGGCGTGAACGGTTGTTTTTGATAATCGTGGGCAACGGCCACTGCCAACGGGTTTAATGGATCTTCATCAGGTGGTGGTGTTTTTTCACGATGTTTTATCGTCTCTGGTGCAGCCGGTGCGGCAGGGTTGTACGCCATTGGGGCGAAACCGGCTGGCGGAGGAGGAGGACTCGCCAACACATCAAGGGAAGCTGCCGAAGCCGGATCAACTGTGGGTTCTTGAGACACAGTCGTCGATGATGATGAAGTAGTATTTCCGTACTGCGGGTCTGAAACAGCTACTTTCTCAAGCTTCCGGACCACTGAACTCACTCCTATAGTTTGTGGGTGGCCGGGTTCGTCCAAAATCTCCACTTGGGCGGACGGCAAGACTCTTCTCACACCATTGACAAATTGTAGGGCATCATTTTGGGTCCAAAAGTAAATATCGAGTGAGTGTAACTTATAATGGTACTTTCTATCATTCCTCGGATCGTAGGTTGGGAGATGCCATTCACTGTGATCCACAGAATCGGCCGCAATAAGAGACACAGCACAGTGTTGCTTGTAAGAGTATCTCACATGGGTTTGGTCGAGAACTGCACAATGTCAACATTAGCTTGATCTCTTCAAATCTTTTAGGGCTGGTAAGGTCCTCACACCCGTCAAAAGCATCCTGCTCATCAGTCCCTGGCTGATTCGCTATCTCTATGCGGCACCTTCTGTCGTGCGCATTCTCAAAAAGGTACACATATGAACCTTTGTCAAAACGATGATGCCTCGGTCTGGCATTTTCCGGTTCATAGAAGTAATGTATGTCTCCGAATCTAACAAGTCCCAAATTCGCTGATCAGAAACTTACTCATGGACCATAGGTAACCAGATAGATCGACTCACAGTGTAGCTACGTTCTCCTCGCCGGCTCGCGCTGCCATTTTTCATGTGAGAATTTTGACCAAAAGAGTTCTGGTTAGAAGGCCACGAGCCCCAGAAGCTCTCAGAATGGTGTCGAGCTGGTATTGAAGGCGGAGGATTGCGGGGAAGGTCAAACCATCCTGCAGTAAGTCAGCCTTTTGTAGTTAATGCCAGGCCCCAGGTGCCACTCCCGGCCCTTCGCACACGCTGATGGGGCCATGGCGGCCAACGTCTTCTTCATATCGCATGAGCGTACGTACACACGGATATGCAGTGACCCTGGAATGGCTGTTTCTCGGCGCTTAATTGTCCCTATTTTGAGCCTCTAGCAGCCAATAAATGGACGACATTTAGGTGATTCATGCCCCACTAAAAATGCCGTGCAGAGTAGTGTGATAAGTGGCTGGGGCCACCGTACTAGAGGAGGCTAACAAACATTAGCAATTCACGTGCCTTCGTGTTTCGCGTCACGACAGCTTTCACGCTCACATTGACAGATTGGTTTCGGATCATCGCAGTCTTTTCGATCATTCTGGGCTGGAAACTGTGTCCTCTAGGGTTTTTCCCTTGTGATGGGTAGAGATGACACTGTATCAGCCAAATCCCTTCATCCGCGCCTCGTGCTTTCCCAAAGAGTGTCACTGCCAGGATGGCCGAGAGCAATAGTCCCCAGCTTTGCGCAGAAGCTGCGGCCTGCCCCGAAGAATCAGATGGGATATCAAAGACCCTCAAATATCATCTACTTGGCCCATCATTGACCAAAGCTGGCCAAGAGAAGGTAGACCAAAGTAAAGTAAGATTCCGACTTCGTCCCCTTCCTCTCTCTCACCTCCATACTCTTGTACCAACCGGTGACGCAGGTATCAGAAATTATTTACAATGCCTCCAGAGGCTCAAAATTCTTTAACCGGGAGGAGGTTAGAGACAAAATTTTAACAAAGAAGATCGAACAAATTCTCGCAAGAAAACGTCAGCTTGAACAGGCGGACCTCACCCAGGAACTCCGAAGTGCGGATCGCGTTATTCACCAGTTCGAGCTGTCGAGAGACCTTACCCAACACATTGTTCACATTGACTGCGATGCCTTCTATGCAGCCGTAGAACAATTAGAACGTCCTGAGCTCAAAGAAGTACCGTTTGCTGTTGGCGGAGGTGTGTTAACGACCTGCAACTATGTTGCAAGACAATTCGGGTGTCGATCCGGCATGGCTGGCTTTGTGGCGAAAAAACTGTGCCCTTCTTTGATTCTGATTAAGCCAAACTTCCAGAAATACACTGCTAAAGCCCAGGAGATTCGAGAGATTCTTGCAGATTACGACCCGCGGTTTGAAAGTGCAAGTATAGATGAAGCCTACCTCAACATAACCGAGTACTGCCACGACAAACATGCGACTCCGGCTGAGGTCATTGAGCAGATGAGACGAGAAATCTACCAAAAGACAGACATAACAGTGTCAGCCGGCATTGCCGCAAACACAAAGCTTGCGAAGATCTGCTCAAACATCAACAAACCGAATGGCCAGTACGTGCTACCGTCCGATCGTACATCCATCATGACATTCATGAGAGACTTGCCAACCAGGAAAGTAAATGGTATTGGTCGCGTCCTTGAACGTGAGCTTTTGGAACTCGGTGTGAGAACCTGTGGTGATATATACGAACATAGGAAATATCTCAACTTGTTGTTTGGGGACAAAACTTTCGAGTTTCTGATCAGCTGCTACCTTGGACTTGGTCGTACTAGGATACAACCTGCCGAGGAATACGAGCGAAAAAGCATTGGAACGGAGAGCACGTTTCGAGAATTGTCGGATCCTGGGAATTTAAGGGAGAAGTTGCGATGGACAGCCGAAGAACTTGAGAAAGACATGGAAAGGGTTCATTGTAAAGGCCGAACTCTCTGTTTGAAGATAAAGCTACATACGTTCGAAGTCCTTACCCGACAGGCTGTAATGCCGCGGGCCATATGCTCCGCCGATGAGCTGTACAACTTTTCTTTACCGATTCTCACAAAGCTCGAACAAGAGATGCCAGGTATGAAACTTAGACTAATGGGATTACGATGCACGCATCTTGTGAGCACCAAAAAGGTAGACACAATGGCTTTTTTTGGCCTCGGAAGAAGGGAAATGATTCGTACGGAAGACCAGTGTCCCAACCAGAATATAGAGAGCCAAATCAAGTACGACAAGACCGAGGTATTGGAAAGCCTACCCGCTGAAGATTACATCCCAAACGTGGCGTTTGGTCAATTGTGCGACAATCAAAACTTTGGGGGCTCCAAACTTGGCAGACATGGTAAGGAGGTTGTGCCTAATCCCAACAAACATGGGCTGGATAGAAGAGAAGAGTGGTGGGACTGTCCTATTTGCTTCCGGCCACAAGAGGCTAATGAAAAAACATTTAACAACCACATTGACCTTTGCTTATCGCGGCAGACGATACGAGACACAGTTCAGTGTCAGATACCAAGGAAGGCAGTGGCTGTTCAGTCTGAATCGAAGCGGCTGTCTTTGAACAAAAAAAAGGGAAAGGTTCTCCCGGGAGATCCAAAGCAGAAAAGGCTTTCGTTTGCATGAATATACATGGCACGCATGTGTAATGATACTCATTCGTGACACATTCCTTGGTTCTAGTACTACATGTTCCCACTTGCCACTACAATTCCTCGTGATCCTGTACATCATCTGTTGTCAGCCATGAACATTTTAGAGGCCTCAGTAGCTTTAAGCACGAGTGTGATTACCTTTTTACCAGCTTTATCAGCTTGTTTGGTCTCTTTTGCCTTTCCTTTCCCTGTCTCTTCCTCGGGGGGGGCGACACCCTCGACTCCAACTAATTCAGTTTCAAAGACTACACGACACATGTCAACATGAGCAGCGCCAAAACTTCGAGCAGAGCAGGGTCAACTTACTCAGAGTGGCGCCTGGGGGGATGGGGCCGATACCACGTTCGCCGTAGGCAAGCTCGGGGGGGATGGTCAATGTTCTTGCAGAAATTAGCCAGAAGCAGTGCGCAGAGTTACGGATGTTGAGACGGACCTCTTTTCTCCAATACACATGTCGAGAAGACCTTTCTCCCACCTAATTCATCCCTTTGTTAGTTCTATTATACAAGACATGAGGCATAAGGGCATTTCGAACCCTGCAATGACTTGTCCAGTCCCTAACGTAAATTGGAGCGGTTGGCCTCTGTCATAACCTTTTCGAGCAAATATAATTAGCACTATTTCACGCTGTAAATGCACAAGTTACAAAAGATGGTACGTACTAGCGTCAAATTTTTTCCCCGAGTCACCCAGTGTGCCCTTGTAATGCATGGCGACCTTGTCGCCTTTTTGGGTTTTGCGGTCACACTGGACTGAGTGTGTCACGTCAATCTTGAGGTCATCCGCAGCAACAAAGCCAACCACGGAGGCGGCGAGAATGGACAAGAATGTACTAGACTTCATCTTCAAACGCTGCAAAATTCAATTGGGCAAGTGAGTGGGTAGTAAAAGGCTTCAGTAATGGCCACACCGGTTTGCACGGAAGTAAGGAGACGGTCGACTGCCCCGTACTTGAGTCGGAGATTGTTGCCAGGTGTGTGCGCGCGTTATGTGGTGCTCAAGTGGACTTGACGACGTGGTCGGGCAGGCAGGCGGGCGGGAGGGGCTTGCGAACCAGTCACAGGTCTGGCACCCAAGCCTGGCCTGTTACGGGGCAGTACACGGTTCACAGGTAATACAAATTGGCCGGTAAAGACTGGCAACCTGGTTGCCTGGTCAAGTAGCATTTATGCATGTGCCACCAGGCCGGGCTCAGGAGTCGGAGGCACGACATAAAGCACCACAGAGCTATTGTTGCGTTGCACCTTGGCGTTTAAGACACCAAAATTGCACCCGGGGAGTATCTAAAGTGCCTAGTGAAGTATATGTACCTGGACTTAAGATGCCTAGTAATTCCTCCATATTAATACCAGACTTTCAAGCGCGCATGACTTTGTAATTTCAGAAGTGACCAAGAACAAAGCCTGTCGCTAGAGGCTCAGGCACACTGTACCAGGCAATACTGCAATAGAGAATCGCCTGATAACAATGTTTAGATGACTGCAAAGCGCATGAGATGTTGGCACTTGGACCTACCGAATTCCTACGAGAGCATGGATTCCCCAAGACACAAAACCATGACCACCCAATGTAGGAATATGCAATCACGGATGCGTCCCTATTGGTAACATACCTAGCTAGGTAGGTATCGAGGTATCGTATATTCTGTCTTGATTCGTCTCTACTCAAGTTGGCTCGCCCCTTGGCAGCTGCTTCTACTTTCCTGCTGCCGTAATAGGCATGTTCCGTACGAGGAAAGATACTCGTCAGAGAAGGCACTCGAGGAGATACGAAGCAACCATTGACGTCTTAAACGGGTACCTAAAATAAGTACAGAGTGCTTGGTAAGTATTGTGTTTTGACAACAAGGGCGCAGCTTGAGGAACCAGGTGTGCGTTAGACCCGAAGATGTACGCGGCAAATGGCAGCCCATCAGGCAAATCACGGATTCAAGGCACAGCACATGCAGTTAAGGCTCCGACGAGGTCACGGGTCCCACAATACCTGGTGACCTCGAGTGACTTGGGTGACAGACTAAATCCGGCCACACTAGAACCCCTTATAACGCGTTTTACAAAGCTACTGATGAGTCTTAACATTCCAGCAGCCTCACAAGAAGCTGTATTAAAGGTCTTTAACGGCGAATTTTTAATAGATGGCAGCACACGTGAGCAGGCAGCTGATAACACCTGCCAGCCTAATAACCCACCTAATGAGGCTCGTAGGCAGAGATTTTAACCTTTTTAACCTTCATATCGCGATGCCCTCAATCGCGTTGGGGCTGTGATGTAGCTCTTTGTACTTAAACGAATGTCAGTACTTTTACCATAGTGTAAATTACTAAGAAATCCATGTACCCTTAAAATGAGGGCCTTTAATTGGCTATAATCCTTGTCCCGTGACCTCGTTGGAGCCTTAACTGCTCTGAGGGGATCGTATGTTGCTCCCCTTCGTTGGCTCCATCTCGTAGCTCTACAGGAACCACTGCAGGTCCGTACAACGCTCAAGATGCTGTGGGTTGGTCGCCGCCTGCATATGCATAATCGATCGATGCTAGTCTCAGTGTTAGTGTCAGTCGGACATTGTACACGGATGGCAACAGAAGTCTGGGAAGAAATAAAGCCATAGAGGGCAGGATACCCAGAACGAACGGAGAACTTTGACAAAGGCCCGCCCTGGGCTTTTACTTTTTTCCTCACTCTTGTTTTCCGTCCACTGCCTCCCAACGCAGAGCCAAGCCCGCCCTTTGAATTGAGGCTCGGAGCAGAGGCAGCCGCCTGACAACAAAGGCACATCAGAGTTCAGCCGCGGCCATGCATCTCACCAAGAGGGGGGGGGGCACAAAGTGTTATTGGGGCAAGGCCTTAATTAGCATCCTCTGACAGGGGTGTGTACCGACTTACCAGCCTTCGGTGATGCCTGGAAGAAGGGCTGTGGGCGAATCAGTCAAGATTCACCTCCAAACCTATCAAGTTATCAACCTGTTGTCTTACCTCGTGTGGGCTGTTGGCGGATGTTTCAGCGCTCGCGAAACGTTAGCCTCGGTGTGCACCGCGTTACATGTCAGTCCTCCAGACAGCTCGACAGTGCCGAATTCCAAACTTGGTGGGATGCGAAGGCAGCAGCAAGGCACCAGACAGTTAACAGCTCATGGCGCCCTTCTGTGGCTCAGACTCAGCCATTGTGCCCATTTTGCATTTCTATTCCCGCTCGTGGTCACCTCTGCGCTCACCACCAGACCGTTGTGCCAGGGAGTGGAACAAAATAGAAGAACTCAGGTGCTGTGCCACCAGACACCATTGACTCCACCAGACATATGAGCCAGGTCTGGGCCAGGCCATCACACGCTCGCCTTGCCGGCCATATCCATGCTCACGTCCCAGGACTGCTTTTGATGTTGACAATATTTTTCTGGCTTGGCTTGGCGACATTCCCGCTTCCGCCTTGTTGCTACTCGTCGTGTTCCCTGCTCAAGCTCTTGGTTGGGCACGCGGCCAAGTTTTGCCACTTCCGCCTCGCCTTCGCTTATGATGTAGTAACAGAGAACAATACTTGTCGCTGTGCTTCGTATGGGCTATGCTTTTTGTTGCTATTTGCTATTGCAAATCGAGACGAGGCCAGCATGATCCTAGTGTTCCTAGCCAACCAAGCCCATGTTACGCCTTACTCTGACTCTTGCCCTACAATCCTTTCGCTGTGAATTTTGACGATTATGTCTTCGTCATCACACTTGGGTTTTACTAGGTGTGCACCCCTTTGACTCATTCCCGCTCTTGAAGCCCTATCAAGAACATGCCCTGGCAAAGCTCGTATCAGACAAGATGCTTGCCTCATTCTCAACTAGACAGGCCACGGTCGAGCCCGCAGGCCACCGGCTTCTCCTTTGCTGGCCAGCTCATGTCTGGTATACATATATATCAGCGTCTTCCCCTTCAATGTTCCCGTCATATCTCTCTTGTTCCCTACTCTACTTTCATACCATCTCATACATTCTGAAGCCTCGTACACATAGAGCCACCGCAAGGGGTTCAAGTGGCCGATCATCACCTCTCTCCTCTATTTGCACGCACCAAAAATAGCCCTAATTCTTCGCCTGCCCCAAGCCGGGCTGCCTCGGTCGGAAGCTCCTACTCTTGTTCCAGCGAATCATACGCGAGTTCCATGGAAAATTCTAACCGTCGCTCGTTGCCTTCTGGCACATACCGACAGTATGGAGGTGGTAAGTCCTCGTCTTACTCTTGGCGCAATACTCAAGCTCAAACATCTAACAGGTGTAAAACAGATAAGCATGCGATTGAAGTAAAGACATCGTCCAATGGAACCAAGGTTATCAATTACAACAGATCGGCACACGAACACGGAGCACCTAGCCCCAGCTATAGCCCCGGCTATGTAAACCCTCGTCGCCGATCGTGATAGTTGCCTCGTGTTGGAGTGGTCGTACATTGCGAATTTTCGTTCATTATTGCTTTTCTCCTTTCGTCTCCTTTCGTCTCCTTTTATCTCCTTTCGTCTCCTTTCATCTTCTTTCATCTCCTTTCGTCTCCTTTCGTCTCCTTTCTGTTTTTTTTTATTCTGATGAAACGACGCGCGGATGGAAGTTTATGCTAGAATTATTGCTTTGGGCTCGGGAGACATGGAGTATTTGTCTTAGACTTGATTTAATAAGAAGCACATGGAAGAATACTAAATCATGTATCGAGTGTGAAATAAAGGATAGAGACCACGTGGTCTTAAAATTAAAGCGGCAATGGAGTTACTCCCCTCCACCCAAGCAGTACAATTAGCCAGAACACACTCCTCAAGTTTTCCCCATTGTTTTTTAGAGGTAGACGCCAAATATCCCTCGACACTGCACGTTGAAAAGCAGCACTCGCTTCTCAGTACTAACTCGGCAGTTGAAAATATGCATTGCACGCCAGTTAGCTGCAACAAACATGCCCGTTACTTCATGAAGGACTGGAATGAGATGCCACATCTGAATATTCACTAGAGTTCGGCAGCCAATGAAAAACAAATATGGTTAAGAAGTCGCCATGTCTTGCACACCGTTGACTTGCGCTCTCTTCTTGTCCAGGCCGCATAACAGTTCAGTGTAATGTCCTTGAAACATTATCGGGCACTAGCCGATCTAAACGAAGGCAAAGCCCGGGCAACGCGCGCGCGCCACATCGACCAGGAAAGAGGCCAAAGTGTGCCTCCCTGCACTGCAGTCAGAGTCAATGTGAGATTAGCTTTTTGTCTCAATTTTCCCACCGCCCCTCCGCCCTTCGGATCGCAGATTCAGTATTCCAAAGAGTATGAGATTACAGAGAGTGCTGGTTCCAGTTAAGCGCCATATAATTAAGCGCCACCCTCACACTTCGCATACTCGTCTTCAATTGCTTCCTCATATTGTTGGTCCGCAGTTCGTGGATCTTCATGCAAGACACCGCCCTTAACCAGGGCTTCTGGACTCGGGCGGTGAGAAATCTTGTCATTAAGTTTGTCCTCGAGCATACTTCTTTCCAGCTAAGAGTCACGTTAGTTGCCGTTGTGCCGGAACAGCCATGCGACTTTTGAATGAGCATATACCTCTTTCTGGTGTGCGAGAAGGCCTGGTGCGGCAGATGATGCCGGTAGGATGTTCTCTGCCCAAGGATAATTGTCAGTACGCTCTGTCCACCTGCAGAATTGAATACGATGGCGAAACTCAGCTTAGATATTGCTCAGGTGTACGGAGAGACATAACCCACTTTCAACGAGCTCCGCACGATTAGGTCGGTGCATCAGATGATTCTCAAGCGAGTGCTTCCTGGCTGCATCTGGTCTGATAGGTGAAATTGGAGTCTCATCGACCCGCTGGGATTGCTGCTCTACTGCCGCAGGCTCAGACATGTTGCAAATACTCGGCTTGAGTAGAATGGTTGGGTATTCGTCGTCATGGGGTGTTAAGACGTCGGTCTGAAAAGGCTTTGGTAGCTCCTCGTTTGTGACGTAAAGCGGGGAATTGAGGACAGTCAGCTACCAGAATTTGGGTGGGATGGTGTCTGGTGGAGGATGAAGGAATCCTGGGGTGGCCCAAGTGGACAGTGGACAGAGCTATAACAAGAAAACTACATTTTTAATTTTTAAAAAAGCTTAAATATTTAATAATAAATCTAATAAAATACTTGAATTATAATAATAAATACATGAATTAGCTAATATTATAACTAATTAGCTTATATGGAAAAGTGGGTTCTTTAGCTTATTATAAGCTTAAAAATTACATAATCTAGTTTTTAAGCTTATAACTAGCTGAAAGGACCCACCTTTTTATATAAGCTAATTAGTTATAATATTAGCTAACTTAGGTATTTATTATTAAAATTCAAGTATTTTATTAGATTTATTATTAAATATTTAAGCTTTTTTAAAAATTAAAAATGTAGTT